GGCTTAAGCAGAATGTACTTAATTTGGCAAGAGAAGGCTAAGTTTGAGATGAGACGAGATATGTTTAGGCATTAGTTATTTTAACCCTTTTCTCTTTGCTTGTGATTTTCCTATGGATAAATAAATCATACTCTCTTCCAAACCAGGCATTTTCTGTCATTGCTTTTAGGAGCTGGTCACAACTCCCAGAGAGAATTCAATAGCAGGAGTCAATTGGGTAGTTGGCCATGCTCAAGGTAAATATGGTTGGTAAACAAGGGGTGGTGTAGTCTGGTGATCCCATCTAAAAGTAAGCAGGACCACGGGGTTGCACCCTGACAGTTGTTCAGGTATAGGCCCATTACTGTAAAGAAGCACCCACAGAGAGATTGAGAGGGATCACTGGTGCAGCAAACCTCTGAACCATAACACCATCCTTAATCATTTTTGTTGCTCTTCTCATAATTGCTTCCAGGTTTTTGACATATCTTCGGTTTCGTATTGAGGTGTACATAAATGAATCCGGTACTCTAACTGTAATCTTTCCAGTGCCATATAGAAAGGGACTAGCATCTCCCTTGACTGACATCATCACTTTTTGTTTATGCAACCCAGAATTATGGCCCTCTAGCAGCAGTGCACTTAAGCACATACTTAGGTCCCTTTAACTTCAATAGGACTACTCGCATGAGTTAAGCACATAGCCCCAGTTCAGTAAAGCACTTACCTAACATGGGGGTTTTTTGGTCATAAGTAGAATAACTTATTAATTGTTAATAAACACAAAATTCAGCTAAAGTGACTGCTTATGCAACACACCCATCTTTCAGCAGCCCAGTGTCAACATTTAGGGGCTCTTGATGACTTGGACGGAGATGATTCCATTTTTTCCTTTCCATATTTACCATTTCCAATTGTAGCTGCTATTTTGGTGAGAATAACAGATCACATGACAGCGCCTGGCACATTCTGTGTTCTACCATAATACAGTTAATAATAATCATTAGCGTCATCATAATATGGACACAATGCTATGTTCACAGCTCCTTTCCAACTTGTTAAATAGCAAAAGAAACATCTTGTGAAGCAAGCCACCATTAAGAATTCACTTTCTCCGCCCTCTCTTTACCTGAGGTACTATATGCCACAGAAGGTTAGTCCAAGGAAAATAATCATAAATTAAGTGTACCTTCTAGAGACAAGAGCAATAAAGAATGAAATCCTTCTTTGGATTCATACGTCAGAGCTTATTAGGGAAAAATATCCTCAAAGTTTTGACACTTGGATAGTTGCATATTTCAGCACACTGCGGGAGCTCCATTTGCTGTCACAAGAGGATGGGAAACAATGTATGTAGAGATGCTTTGCCAGATGGCTTTACAAGCTGGAGACACTAATTTATGAAGAACTTTAACTTTGGTTCCTGACAGATGAGTTATCTCTTAGGACTAGTTTAGACTTGATTCCCAAAGTACAAGCTAAATTTAATTTGTAACCAGCCATAATTCTACTCTGCTTCTATCTCAATGTGAGGATCCCAACTAGGAACTAAAGCCTCCATTGGGCAATATTCAAACTTGTATAATGTGGTCTGCTTCAGAGCAGGCAAAATAAAACAACAACAAAAGGCATGACCCTACATAGAGAAATCTGCAGAACAACACACACGTACATTTGTCTGTATTGCTTCATTTTCCATTCCTGAAAAGCATTTCAGTAGGAGAATGGGCCACCCGTCAAAGATACAATAGTCATTCAGATATTTGCTCCTTGGCCATTACCCTACAGTGTCACCACACATCATAATTTCGATCCCGTGGCTTCTGCTGAGCACTAGACAGTAATGGATGATCTAACATGAGAAAATCGTCTTGGAACCCTATCTTTTGGAGATTTTTGTGTTGTGTGATTTAATGGTTCCAGCACAATAGGTTACGCATTAGTTGGACCTAATGTATGAAAATCTCCCTTTGCATACTGAAGTTCTGGTCTCTTTTGCTGCTTGGCACATCCAAGAGGTTTAATTCTTTGGTAGATGAAAATGAGAAGGCAACTTTTTCTTGCATTCAAATTGCTTTTTGCTGAAGTTTCACATCCCCCCCTCGAGAGCCTCTCCCTTCCTTCTGTTTTTCAGTCCCATTAAAATGGTTAAAGTTGATTGAAAAAGAGAGGAGAGATGTCACTGAACCAGCCAAGGAGTTCTGGGGTTTGCTGCTTCACCACACCAGGAAGAAGTGGAAGAGCTCTGTCTTCCACTCCTTGTTACTTTAACCCCCCTGCTTTATGGGAAGGAGCGTGCTGCCTATGAAAATATATTTCTAGGGATTTCAAGTTAGTATAGTCCTCATGTCCTGGTTTACTGGTGTCAAACACTTTTAGGCCCTGATCCTGCATCCATTGAAGTCAACAGCTAAGCTCCCACTGTCTTCAGTGGTACAGGATTAGGCTCTAACTGATGGATGTTTCTGAGTTTAGCATAGGCAGATATTCCCCATGTTGTGATGCTGGACTGATGGCTGTAAGAGCTTGGAGAAACCCTTTTCACAAAAGAAAAAAAAATTATATCTGCTACTTCAAAACTCATTAAAAGCTGTAAGTAGATCAGAACTCTGAAACAACAATTTTCCATTTTTAACTCTGCTCCCAGAAAGACACTCTGCTTTTTGCTCCTTTTGTGATTTGATGAGTAACTTTATGTTGCTGAAAGGCTGAAACTGGTGTGATCCAAAAAGATCAATTCTGTTTCTTGAAAGTTCTTAACTCCTAATATCAAGAACAACCTGGCATAAATATGGTCATTGGAACAGAACATAAATATATTCACCTACTGCAATGATGGATGGATGGATCTGTAGCTAGTTTCAATTATAGCATAGTAATGTCCATATCTCTCATTCCAACACTGCCATGCATATTGTTGATTTTAATTACTAGTCACTATAATTACATAGTTTAGTGACATTATAGTTGGACCTGGTTTGTGGAAACATACAACGTTAACTCCATGAGTAGTACCTGTAGCATTAATACATTAAAAAAGACAATGTAAAGAATTAACAGTTGGGACTTTCAAAAGTACCTAAGTCATGAAATCCTGCTCTAACAGAACAATGTTCCCTTGAGTTGCAAACTGATCATGAATAAGTAAAGTAAAAAGTCGTGTCCAGTGAGGCATGATTTATCGATCCTCACTCACCTTCTTCTCTTAGGAGCCCTCTCTTGCAACGTGCTAAGCGTTTCCTCTGAGGATCTAAGTGTCCTTCACTCCAGTTGACCTCAGTAGAAGTTGAGGGCATTCAGCACCCCTCAAGCATCTCTCAGCACCTCACATAACTTGGTCCTTAGTGCTACTTCCCAGTGTCCTTCATTATTCAGTATATCAAGAATAGAGTGAGTAAGAGTTACAGGTTTTTTAGAACTGTGCTCCAGAGTTTAGAATCATAGAAGATCAGGGTTGGAAGAGACCTCAGGAGGTCATCTAGTCCAACCCCCTGCTCAAAGCAGGACCAATCCCCAACTAAATCATCCCAGCCAGGGCTTTGTCAAGCCTGACTTTAAAAACCTCTAAGGAAGGAGATTCCACCACCTCCCTAGGTAACCCATTCCAGTGCTTCACCACCCTCCTAGCTTCCCCAATTCTTGCTTAGAACCATAGTCCCACTGTAATTATATAAAGTATATTTATTTTAGTGGAGTATATGTAGTATACACATTTTAAATAAGCTATAATTGTAATGCTTTTACAGGGAATAGTGCTTCCTACAGTGAATAGTCCCATTGCTTTAATGAGCTCTATTCATGGTAGTAGGCATTATTTTCAGTGATACAACAGCTGTTTACAGGAGTAGGGCCTTCGGGTACGTCTACACTTACATCCGGGTCCGGATGTAAGCAATCGATGTTCTGAGTTCGATTTATCGCGTCTGGTTAAGACGCGATAAATCGATCCCGGATCGATCCCGGAAGTGCCCCGGATCGATCCCGGAAGTGCTCGCCGTCGACGCTGGTACTCCAACTCGGCGAGCGGAGTACGCAGCATTGACGGGGGAGCCTTCCTGCCGCGTCTGGACCGCGGTAAGTTCGGACTAAGGTACTTCGAATTCAGCTACGTTATTAACGTAGCTGAATTTGCGTACCTTAATCCGAAGTGGGGGGGTTAGTGTAGACCAGGCCTTCATTTCTTTCTCACTCAGCTGTTATCTTAAATGTAGCCTAAATGCTAAACAGTTTAAAAGACGGTTTATAATATCTGTCTAGGAGAGCTAGGTAACGTAGTGTAGAATTAATTTCTGCTTTTATTACAGTGGAAGCTATTGGACCATATTCATTTGTACCCTCCAGATCTTTGTGCCACTCTGGTGATGAAAAGTAGCCATAAACCTGACTGAACTAACTGTGTAAGCCGGGTTTATAGGTGACTTGTGTCACTGGAGCAGAACATACCAGTTATTATGGCCCAGTGTTTCCACAAGCGGCAAAACATATTACACTGCTGTTAATATTTAAATGCCGTAAATTAGTAAATGTTGGCTTGACTTTCATAGTCATGATTACTAAAAGAAAGGAAGGGAATAAGACACAGTAGATAGATACTCACCAGCTGTTTCTGGATATAGATGTATTTCCTAATCTACTGAAAGAATTTACCTTTTCTAAGTTGCATATGTGTTTGTATATGAACGTAATGAATTCTTTAATTCAATCCCTGTAGTATCAGAAAAAGATCACTCTGAATGTGTTTGCTAATTAGATCATTTAATGACTACATGGCACAATCAGATTATCATTAATTCAGGGTTTAAAAATATGATAATTCTTATTTGGGTGGCATTTTCAAAAGCACCTGATTGACTTAGGAGCACAACTTAGTGCTCCTAAATCACTTGGGTGTTTTTGATATCCCGCTATTCATTAATTTAGATATTATGCTGACCTGAAGAATTATTCCAACATTTATTTTCTCTTTCTGCAAATGTTCAAGGGTTTCAATATTTATTTATTCTGTACTTTCCTTTCAACAGATATAAGCTTACCAAAATCAGCAACGATATGCTACACAGCTGCACTGCTCAAAGCCAGAGCTGTCTCTGACAAGTAAGTCCATAAGAACTTCTGACCAGCAAAATTCCTTACTGTAAACTCACTAATGTTTAACTGCAGATTTCTCTTCAGTGACCTGGTGAGGTCCCACACCCTGAAAACCTGATGTCCTAGCAGGAGAAATTTTGGCCTGCAGCAAATTTAGAATATGGTTTTTATAAAGAGGAATTTTCACTAATTATCAAATATTGTACCTCACAATGGTTAAAAAGGGGAAAAAATGACTTCAATTAAATTACTTTATTTTAATTTTTATTTATACTATCTGGCTGAGCAATGGCTTCTTGGATAGTATTATAATGAAAATGCATCTGGGAGGTGCTGTGTGGCTGGTCATCTTCACCTTGTATCAAACAGAACCAAGAAAGGTAAAATAACATGACTGCACTAATAGCAATTTTCTTCGACAACTACTATCATAGCAGTGTTCATCTACTTGATTTTAGGCAGGTAGATTTAGCACTTACTATGTAAGGGTTCCTGACAGGTCAATGGAAATAGATGGTATACGTGTTTTTAAAGACACAAATGTTTGCTTATTCCTGATATGGTTTTCTCTTAGGACACAGCCCTCCAAGGTTCTGAGCACTCCTATGTGGTGCTGAGTGTCATCGACTCCTCCTGAAGTCAGTTGGAGTTGAGAATGTTCAGCCCTTCGCAAGAACGCTCAGCACCTTGCAGGATCAAGCCCTAAGAGCCAGATTCTGCTCTTGGATGCGTGCACACAAATCCCAAGCTGGAGGAGTTGTGTATATGTATCTTGGGGGGGAATGTGGCCCTAAAGTTGGAAAGCAAGTGGAGTGGAAAGTCGCTTTCTTTCCTGACATCAGACAGTTTGCTTTTAAGTGAATGTGCACTTCAAGATCTAAGTAATTTTCTTTCATTCTTTTTATCCTGTAGATCGCCAGTACCTACTGCAACATCTTTCCTCCCTACACAGCGACTCCAGCTTGGGAGGGCAGGGCTAAGGTTGTCACAGCTTTCCCTGTGGTGTCTGCCTGCCAAGTACAGCTCTGGAGTTAGCCGTGGGGTGTGAGGTGAGAAAGAGATTGCATGGTCTGGTTTTTCATTCACTGGGGCAGATGATTTGCCCACAGTTTGGGCATCCAACCCTTGCTGGTACAACTGAAAGTAGACCACCCGCTACTGCTGCTGTACCATGCTTTAATCCCAACCTGACCCAGGGGCATTGGGTTGGGAACCTCCCTAAAATCTCCCCAAATATGTTTTTAATAGAAAGACGCTAACAATTACTTAATATTATTTTCTATTTTTTCGGAAACTTCTGCCTTGATAAACGCCCCAAGTAAGGTACTATAGAAAATTTAGTTTAGCAGCGTAGAAAGAATTGACTGTTTGAACTTACTTCCTGCCATGATTAGATGCAAACATGCTTTCCACTTCTGCAGGGATTTTCATTGGCCTTGATGTAATAGGTCATTCAGAGTTTCCATTTACTATGGAAGTTTGGAGAGCATAGGAAATTGTCTCAGCCTGGTTACAACGGCCCTTGGTCTAGATTTCTTTCTGGCTTTTACTTGCTAGCATTTCTGACCTAATGTGTTTGTTTCTTTGCTTTTGCAGATTTTCTCCAGAGGCTGCCTCAAGGCGAGGACTGAGTACAGCAGAGATGAATGCAGTAGAAGCTATTCACAGAGCAGTAGAATTTAATCCACATGTGCCAAAAGTGAGTATGAAGAAATCACTGTCATAAATTTTAACAAAACAGGAGACATATCCTTTGGTTTTAAAGAGGTAGAATAGCACGTGGTGGTTGTGGGAAGGAGAGCAGACAGAGGAGGGTGAAGGGGCTAATGTTTGTACCCTGCTATACGCATGTGGGGAGCATTTGAAATTTCTCGTTAGATACCATAGGAAACAGACTTGTCACCTAATATTAGGTCTTGAAACTTTAAGTATTAACTGATAAAAGTCTGTCAGTCTGAATATCAACAAAATACTGGACATTAACAATAGGCACCCTGATGCCACATTGATGAACACATTAGAAGTATCCATGTAGATAGATTATTCCTTAAATAATCGTATACAATGACAATAATAGAAAAGATCTTCAGGTTAAAAAAAACGGTTGTCTGTATTTCCTGGATCACACATAGGATATATTTTCAGCATGCTGCAAAGGGACTTATGTTCACATTTCCTGTTATGCTTCATATAAATTGTATTTGTAACTCTTCATGCAATGCCCCACCATTAAAACTCCAAACTGTTTAGGGCTTGCTCATTCGTAAATGAAAAATCACAGAAAGGACAATGTTAAAGGTGGAAAGGATTTTTTTTATAATTCCCTCATTCCCTCTCTAACTATACATCACAGCAGTAAGACTCCTGGCTTCTGAGCACTAATAGCTAATGCTGCTGCTTATTTTCTCACCTGATCCTCAGCACTATGCAGGACCACTGTTAGCAGTGGCAGATAAAAGGAGGATGCTGTGTGAACCAGGAGACTGTGTGAACATTGGCTGATGGATACAGTTGAGCACCAAATCCTCAGCCCTCCTTCTTTGCCCTTGTCCATGAGGGGTAGGAGATAACCCCACACTGCCCCTCTCACGCAGGAAGGTCCCTTCCCAGAACTGTGCAGAGATTAAATACTTTCCCTGTAAGGTCGATGTACTTTTTGCCTTCTCCCACTGACTAGCCACTAACCAGCATGATTCTTTTTAGCAATTCCAGCCTCCACTGTAACAACCAGGAAGCATGTTTTACTGGTCAGTCATTCCATCTCTAGTGGCAGTAAAAGGAGAAGATGATGATATCTTACATTTGCAATCCCAAGGCATTTTACAAATGTAAACCCATGTAGAAACTCTAGACAGGAATCACTTAACCTGCCACTGAAATGCAGCCATCTCTGGGGTACAATGCAGCAGTTGTTTTGACAGCCCACAACAACACTTCACGGTAGATTAGGAGAGAAAAATGAACAATATTATGTTCATTTGAAAGAGCAGGATGGTTAATTTAAGTAAACAAACATGAATCAAGTTGGAATCTGATCGAGACACCATAATTAACACTCTCAATCTTATGAAAAATGCAGTAGGATCTTTAATATTCCCAAATGGTCGTGATTATTATTAATTATTTATTTGTATTATCATAGTGCCCAGAAGCCCTAGTCATGGACCAGGACCCCACTGTGCGAGGTGCCTCACAAACACAGAACAAAAAGACAGTCCCTGCCCCAGAGAGCATAATCTTGAATTTCTTTTTTTCTTGCCTCAGCTGAAAGAAGCCAGTCATTTTATAGCATACGGTAAAGGTCCAAGCAGGCTAGTGTATTGCTATATTTTTCAGAATATACTTGGAATGGAAACTTAAACTCCAAAATGGTGGGGCAGTTTTGCACTGCTGAGACTTACGGATCTGGGTATGGGAGAATTCCCCGCCATGTAGGCAAATCCTTGGATGGCTTTAGAACCAGGGTAGCAGTACCTTTTGCAACCCATTCCTGACTGCTGGTGCAAGGGCCCTGGCCAAGGAAAAGGCGAAATGGCTGAAGGTCCCTTATTGCCTGACAATCCCTGGTGGCCCTAATTCATGTTGCTATTCTAATTTAGAATCAGGGGATCACAAAGGTGGCTTAAGGTCACCTTTGCGCACATGCATGCACATGAATATCCAAGCTATGCTGAATACTTCATGGCCACACTTAAAGAGCGGGAATCTAATTTAGTGATCAGGGTAGAAAAAGGAATAGAAAATGGAACATGCATCAGTTATCACGTTTGCAATGTAATAAAAGGGAGTAACAGGTGCATCAAAACACCCATTATAATATTAAAACTGTAATGTGTAATATAGTTTAACATACAGTATCACTGTAATTTCATGTACACATACTGTGCTGCATTAGCTAAAAGGTTAGCAAGGGAGATTTAGGTTTGATATTCGGAAAAACTTTCTAACTGTAAGGGTAGTTGAGCTCTGGAATAGGCTTCCAAGGATGGTTGTGGAACCCCCATCATTGGAGGTTTTTAAGAACACACTGGACAAACACCTGTCTGAGATGGTCTAGGTTTACTTGGTCCTACCTCAGCGCAGGGGGCTGGACTTAATGACCTCTCAAGTCCTCTTTCACCGCCTATATTTCTATGATTCCATGAATCATTTAGCAATAATATGTTAGCAGTAATAATGTTATGCAAATAATATGAATATACACCATCATATTCAGCCTTAATTCTGACTGAAATAGCATCACATATCCTCTTAATGAAATTTAGATAAGAAAATTTAGCAACTTGCAGCACAGGAAAGCTAACAATGCCACATTGCTAATATGTGTTGCAATTGGCATCAGAGCTTCTGCAGGATTTCAGTAATGAGTCTCTCCCTCTTTAGAATAAGAAAAAAATAAGTTGTACTGATGACACCAAAAACTGAGTAATTGTTTGAAGTCTTTGGAAAGTCATCTGCTGAATATGAGCTTCCAAGTGCAGTATTGTGGCGAAAACAGCTAATGCAATCCTTGGATGCATAAACGAGGGAATTTTGAGTAGAGATGATATTTTACCTCTGCATTTGGCACTGGTGAAACCTATATTGGAATGCTCCGTCCAGTTCTGGTGTACACAATTTAGAAATGTGTTGATACATTGGAGAAGGTTCAGAGAAGAGCCACAAGAATGATTAAAGGATTGGAAAAATTGTGATTGATTAAAAGAGCTCAATGTATTTAGTTTAACAAAGAGAAGGCTAAGGGGTGACTTGATTACAGCATTTAAGTACCAATATGGAAAACAAATATTGATAAAGGGCTCTTCAGCAGATAAAGGTATAAGGGCTGAAAGTTGAAGCTGGATAAATCCAGACAGGAAATAAGATGAACATTTTTAACAGAGAGCAATTAACTTTTGGAACAATTTACCAATGGTTGTGGTGAATTCTCCATCACTGGAAATTTTTAAATCAAATTGGATGCTTTTCTAAGAGATATTTTCTAGTTCAAAGAGGAATTATTTTGGGGAAGTTCTGTGGCCTGTGGAGGTCAGACTAGATGATCACAATGGTCCCTTCTGGCCTTGGATTCTATGAATCTAGGCAAGTTCCCAGCTGCGCCATTGAGAATAGGCAGGGAACAACATTACTGAGGATGGAAGGTATAAATGGTCCTCTGCATTTCTTTGTTTTCACAATTTCCAGCCCAGATACTTGCAACCTAGCATCCTCAGAGCCAGTGCATATCCCAGAATGTTTTCTTCATCTTAGAATTAAAGTCTGAACTAGAAAAATGAAATTCAAAAGAGAACTCTCGAGGAAACAGGAAAAGATGGGAACGGTGCTGGAACCTTGTGGGAGGGATTGCTGAGTTAGACATAGAAGATATAGGGTGTCCAGTATCCACCTGTAACCTGATACCGCTTTATTTATGACAGACATTGAGTTCCAATATGCACTCATGCACTCCTCCATGTTCTATTTATTTTTCCCTGAGAGAGGTAAAGTCTTTGCATGGCTGGCCTTGAAATTTTCCTAACGTCCTTAAAATGGAACATTTTAAATAGTCCCAGATCCCAGTGCTTATGTACCAGTATGATACGCACCTTAGAAATACCTACTCTAAATATATAAACCAGTTTGTACTGCACCATTCCAAAGTACTTTTTAGCATTTCTGTAATATAAAGAGATTCATATGAGAAAAGGCAAATACAGTGACTCTTTCCCTGAAAATCATTTCCATTAGGTAAACTCATCTGCTGTCCCTTACAAGTGGATTTGAACACAAAGTCACTGATTTTTCTTGGGCCCTTTGGAAATAAGGAAAATGGAAATGGCTAGCAAGCTTAGGCTGGCCACAGAACTTTGTGTTTCATATCAGCTTAGCAGTCACGAACCTCTCTAATCTCCAGTATCTGTTGGCAGCTTGACAAAATCTGAATCTTTCTATTTGGAAAGGAGGGACATTCTTTAAACATCAGTGATGAAAAATGCACATAGATTTTCACCTCTGTTGTTGTCACTGAGGTGCACCTAATTTCACGGATGTTAAGTGACTTCACATCACCCTGGGTTTCCCTTTGTAAAGAGCTAACATCACCGGAGGTTCCTTTTTCAAAGGCTTTATATGGCTTAAGGCAGGGGTGGGCAAACTATGGCCCACATCTGTCCCGCCTGCCGATTTAATCCAGCCCTCAAGCTCCTGCTGGGGAGCGGGGTCTGGGGCTTGCCCCGCTCCCGCGCTCCAGCCGGGGAGCAGGGTTGGGAGCCTCTCCGTGCGGCTCCCAGAAGCAGTGGCATGTCTCCCTTCCGGCTCCTACATTTAGGGGCAGCCAGGGGGCTCTGTGCGCTGCCCCCACCCCAAGTGCCGATCCCGCAGCTACCATTGGCCAGGAACTGCAGCCAATTTGAGCTGCAGGGGTGGCGCCTGTGGACAGGGCAGCACGCAGAGCCGCCTGGCTGCGTCTCAGTGTAGGAGCTGGAGGGGGGACATGCCGCTGCTTCCGGGAGCTGCTTGAGGTAAGCGCCACCCTGAGCCCCTCCCATGCCCCAACCCCCGCCTCAGCCCTGATCCCCCTCCCGCACTCCGAACCCCTTGATTGCAGCCCGGAGCACCCTCCTGCACCCCAAACCCCTCATCTCCAGCCCCACCCAGAGTCTGCACCCCCAGTCAGAGCCCTCACCACCACCCCCACACACACCCCAAACCCCTGCCCGA